TACCTTCTGCTTAGGGGCTGATGGGAAGTCTCCTCTGTCTACACTGCCTGTCTGAAGAATCAACCCTAAGTCTCACAAAGGTCTCGAAAACCTGCCAAGGCCAGCTCAGACCAGGGCTAAGAAGTAGATAACATTCTTCCGGGATTCAGGGTCAGTTGACTTGGCTAAGCCGGAGCCTTGCACAGCTTGGAAGGCTGGAAGGGTTCAGTAAGCACCTTTAAGCTGCCTAAGGACACACATACTTCATCTGGTAGGCAGAGGGCCAGGAGGCCCTGGCTCTGCCCATGAGGGGCTGTGTGACCCCAGGCAAGTTCCTGCCTTCCCTGGGCTCTATACTCTATCCTATAAACCAAGGAGGTAGGGCAGAGGAACAAATCCACTGGTCCTCAGCCTGTGGAATGGACATTTATGGGCATTTCATAGAAGTTATTTAGAGAAAAGGTGTGTTTTTGTGACACTCTATTTGTCAGTAACCATAGTCTTGCATTTGCCATGTTCTATTTTGGTGGGAGCCACAGAGGTAATAGCAGGGCGCCTGGCCATCCCACACACTTCTGGAAATGTTTGGGTCTGGGAAGGGATACTGGCCAGGTAGAGAAGGTAGGTAGGGGGCAATGGTGCTCGAGGCCAAGGGAACAGCGTGGGCCAAGGCAGGGAAGCTGGCAAGCATAAGGAGAGTCTGAAGAATTCTCAGTCATTTGTGCAGAGTGAGGGAGGGAGAAGAGAGAGGAAGTCACACAGGTCAGCGGGGGTCAGTCCCACAGTACTGGCTAGTAGCTTGTTCTGAGGACAACAGGGAGCCCCTGAGGGGCTGGAGAGGTCCTGGTTACATTGGTTGATTACATTCGTGTTTTCAAGAGTTCATGCTGGTCAGTCTTGGCATCCCTTTGAACTCCTTTTTGACCCATCAGCTCCAAGTCAAGTAGTTGTTTCAATCTAGTTGTGGAGGGCATGGGGATCAAACTGGCAACCTTGGTGTTACGAGCACTGTGCTCTAACCAACTGAGCTAACCAGCCGCCCCTTTGAGCTCCTTTAATAGGAAGCTTGGGAGAGGAGGATGGACCAGGTGAAGATCCTGCTTCTGTCACTTATTAGCTGGTTAATCTTGACCTTAGCCTTCCTTATCTGTCTACCTGGACATTCTGGGAGGGCTCTATGAGCTCATTTGCTCAACATATATCTCTTGTGGTCCAGGCTGTATGCTCCCAGCATAGTCAAGAAAGTAAACCAAATCTTGTTTCTAGTCCCTAGGAATTCACAGGTTATAAGTAATGACCTTGATGATAGAGTCACAAAAGGTGCTATGGGAACTGGAGGGAGTGAAAGAATCAGCTAAGTGCCAGGGGAAGGGATCTCCAAAAAGGGGATATTTGTGATGGGTCTTGAAGGATGAGTAGGAGTTCAGTAGGCGGAAAAACTAGTGAAGGGTGTCCCAATGAAGGAATAAAAGTATGAAATGGGCACAACTAGTTTGGAGTAGAGGAGAATGGAGCTGGAGGTTGAGGTCAGCGAGGGTCAGATCATAAATGCCAATGAGTTGGCACCAAATCCCGTGGGTGTTTGAGAGCCAGTGGAGGATTTCAGGCAGGGGGTGGGCAGGAGCATGGTCGGATTTATGTTCTCGAAAGCACCTCTGGGGACCTGTATGGAGGTCGTTCTGGAGGGACAGGTTTGCATAGGAGGGGGGGTGCAAGGGGGACCCAGTGGATTGGGTGCAGGAAGAGGTGGGAAAGGTAGTGAAGTTAGAAGGGGGCTGCTTGAGAGGTGGTCAAAGACAGAGAGAGAGAGTCGAAGGACGGATTCAAGGAGCAAGGGTGTATAAATGCCTAGATAAGGGCCGAGTATGTCATAGGAGCTCAGTACATAAATGTCCACTTGCCTCCATTTCCATTAGTGTTGGGGGCTAGAAGGTGAGGAGGTTGGGGCCAGAATGGGACTGTAGAATTGAGATTTCTGAGTGGGACAGTGTTGGGTGGTGCGAGGTTGGAGAAGGTCACTAGGGTTGAGGAAGGCTGGGAACTGGGGTGCTGGGTAGATCACCACATGCCCAGTGGCATCCCCGGGATGAGGCAGGAAAGGGGATTGGAGAGGGGAGGGGAGGGCAGGGGAGGGAAGGGAGAGTACCTGGGTCCCTGATCAGGTTCCCAAAGACCCAGGAGCACCAGTTAGGAGGGAGGGAAGGGGCCCACAGCCACATTTTCTGTGGGTACCAGATCATGCACAGGGGTGGGTGGCTGTACCCCTATCCTCACCCTCTCGCTGACCAACCCCTCTCTGCTCGTTCCCATAAGCCTTATTTTTGGGGCACTGACTGTTGTGACTGGCATCATTGGAGTTATCTTGGGGGCAGAGGCTTCAAGGAGGTACAAGAAAGTCAACTCGCAAGCTGCGCCCCTCATCTGTGCCTCCAGCCTGCTTGCTGCAGCCCCCTGCCTCTACCTGGCTCTCATCCTGGCTCCGACCACCCTCCTAGCCTCCTACGTAAGTGAGGGCCCCTTCGGAACTGGGAGTGGCGTGGCGTGGCATGGGGTGGGGTGGATAGGGAACTCCTGCTTACAGTTACACTGTGTCAGGTCTTTACGTACATCACGTGGCTCACTCCTTCCAGGTGAAGCTTGTTGTCCGCATTTTACAGATGAGTAAACTGAGAGTTACACAGCTAGGAAGGGGCAAAACTGGGATTTGAGCTTTATCCTTTCTGATGCTAACGTGTGTCCTCTGAGCTCCTGATGAATGGTTTGATTGGAGATAATGGGACTCACTTATTCCTAGGACATGTTGTGAGTCCAAGAAGAAATAGGGTGATTCTTTCCAGGTTACAGATGAGGAACGTGAGGCCCAGCTTGGCTGCAGCCAGTGCAGACACTGCTTTAAAGGTGACAAGCATGATAATATCACGTCTTCCAGGTCCATATCCCACACAGCCCTTCACGTGCCTCACACTCTGGCTACATCAGTAACAGGTGCTCACACCTCCCAGCATTTGCCTGCCAGGGACACCGTTCCCCTCTTGGATGCCTCCTGAAATCTTTCTTCTGCAAGAGTCAGATCAAAGGCCACCTACTCCAAAACCATTTTCAGACCACTCTCTGCTCGAGTCAGAATTCCCGTTCCCACTTGGGCTCAGAACATGTTTGGGTTCCATTGGGCACCATGGTGTGTGGGTGGAGCTGTATCCACGTACATGCACATGTACATATGGGCAGCAGGGTCCCTGGCTCCCCAAAGCCCCAGCTCTGACAGTCTCACCCAATTGGAAGGGGCCACTGATTCTGGGAAGATGGCGCCAGCTTAGCCCCAGTCAGATGGGCTCAAGCTCCCTTCCACTCCCGCTCCCCTGTCTCAAGGCTCTGGGGACCCGCTGCTGTGGACACAGATTCCCCTGCATGTGTATGTGGGGTTCACTGAGCAGATGGTACTCAGAAAGGAAATCAATAACAGCTTTATTGTTCTACCAGTTTGGGTGGGTCTCCCACTCGTGACCAGAA